TCCCTTCATCCACAACTCCATCCCGACCTCCCCACCTACTTTCCCAGCCCTCCCCTTCCATCCTCTTCTGCATCTCGACCTCCCCATCTACTTTCCCACCACTCTCCCTTCAGCCATGACTCCATCCCAACCTACTTTGGCAGGGATTGGGGAGCTGGTCCAAGAGTCCACCTGGCCTGCGAGGTGCTTCTGCAAATGATGACCGAAGAAGGTGATGGAGATATGGAACAATGCAACAGAGGCGCTAGCAGGTGCGTTGCACCCAAAACCAATGCCACTCTACATTTAAGAAAAAAGAAAAAAACATGTTGTAATGCACCCAGTCAGGAGGAAACTCGTCAAGTGTCGAAATACAAGACTCAGCGCAGAAAAATGTCTACAATATAATCGTGGAATGTGATCTGTATATAATGTCTCCTAACCATAGGACGAAGAAGATAAGAGGGAGATTAGACGTAGAGGGTGGAAGAGAATGTATCCATCAATGTCCGAGTAGACAGAACACCCTCAATCCCTACTCCTCCTTCGGGCGCCAGCTCATATCCACGTCAGCGAACAGTGTCCAAAAAACGAGATCTGATCACAACATAATGCAACGTAGGCACAGATCTCCCACGAAGACGTCTCTGCAGCACGCAATGTCGACAGCATCACAGGTAAGTTCCCTCTCACTCACTCAATCAGTCCCACAGATCCTGTTCTCCCTCCTTGTCGCAGCCCCAATCTGCGTTGAAGACAGTGTGGCATGCGCCACGTCAGCAATGCCAAGGACAGCATGGCGAGTGCCACATCAGCATCCAAGAAGACAGCTGGTGCCAAAAGCAGAGGGCGCCAGCACGGAAAGCAGCAGTCTCGCGTTGTCGTTGCACAATGCCAGCGTAGAGCCAGCGTCTTGCCAACGTCTTGCCAACGTCCAGCCAGCGTCAAGCAGCAAGGCAAGACTGAATGTTGACTTCCAGGGGCTGCGTCGATAAATAGTGCTGACGCCTTTGACCAGCAAGGAAAATTCTTTAGACTTGACCCAAACAAGATCTCCTTCTTTGAACGTTGATGGTCTACGATGTTTGTTAGCCTGTTCAATCATTTTTAGTTGGGCTTTCTGAGACTTTCTTTATATCTTGTTCATACAAAACTGCAAATTTTTGTGTTCTTGGGGGTAGCCGTTGAACTCAGTCCCGAGCCAAAGCATCAATGGGACGTCGCGACTTCCATCCTTTGTGAAGTGCGTTCGGTGTTCTCCTAGTCACTGTGTGAACACTGTTGTTGTACACACTTGCAATTTTAGGCAAGTTCTCATCCCAATCTATATGGTATGGCCTTACATACATTCGCCGAAGTTGTTGGCACAGACTGTTTATCTCCTCAGTTTGTCCATTCGTTTCAGGATGTCTTCCTGACGACATGGTCAATTGGGTTCCGTATGCCTCCATCAACTTTTGCCATTGTTGGCCAGTGAACCGTACATCTCGATCAGAGACGATGGTTTTTGGAAATCCATATTCCGAAAACCCATGGCATCTGGAACTTCCGGATGACGAGTTTCGTTCTTCGGCAGGCAGAGGAATGAACATAACATATTTAGAGAATCGATCAGCAATGACCATCACCTGACTGTTACCATTCCGACTCTTGGTGAGACTCTCGCAAGGTCATAGTCTTAGCCCACTCACCAATGTCCTCAAAGCCAGCAGCGTTAGCCTCAGACAGTACTCACTCCTTGGCAACTTTGCCAAGACAGGAGGTCGAAAACGCAACTTGTCTTTCGGCCTCTATAGGAGTGGTGTTGCAGTAAGTTTGTATCTCTGTTATCCATAATCACAGATGTTCCCCTCGCTTACTGTTCTACATGAAACTTGATGAAAGGAAGTTTCATTTTGACCTTTTCCTTTTTCTTCAGGTGTTCCCCTTCTTCCTTCATTGAAACTTCCTTCTTGGTGGGTTCTTCTTTCTTCGCCGGCTCTTCAGGTTCTTTCCCAGACGTCTCAGGCTTTTCCGGCGTCTTCTTGGCACCTTTCATAGCATCTTGCATCAACTTCTCCTGGGGTTTCTTTTCGTCCATCCCCTCAACCTCCTCCTCATACACCACCTTGTTCTTTCCTTTGACCAATCTTGTCATCGTATGGAGTTCGGCGGTGACATTGTCAATCTTGATTTCTAGGCGTGTGATGTAAGCCATCATTTTTTGCAATATGGTTACCAAGTCGGCCTCTGACCCCTCTACATTAAACTTTTGTCTTATTTATTCTACTTTCTTTGCATGTTCTTCTCTTTCTTTCTTCGCTTTTTGGTAGGCTTCTTTCCTTTTCAATTCCGCATCCAATGCAGTATGAAGTTGTTGGACGGTGTCATCCATAATCTCTTATGTCAGTTCTTCCTTTCTCTCAGATGCTTCAACCTTCTTTTCTTCTTTAGCCACTGTTATTTTTGCAAATTGCTCTGCAACAAAGTCATTTAGTGCCATCCGCGCTTGATCAATCAGTTGCTTGCTGCACTCTTCTGCTGGTTTCCATCATCTGGACAACAGTTTCAGCCCGTTCCAGTTCGTCTTCTGCTGTGCGCAAATCGAACAAACTGCTTAGGTGTTGTCCAGCCTCAGGGCCAGCATCTTGTACTTCCTGGAGCAAAGTGTGAAGACGGGTCAACATTTTCTGCCATTGTTCTTCAATTTGGCCTCGGGTTCTCATCTCCACCTCCTCATCAGCAAAAAGGGGGAGAGAGATGGGGTAGAAAAGAAAGGGAATAAAGCGAGTCAAGGTGCCATAAAAAAAACATTCTGACAAATGAGTTCGCTGCACAATAAACTTTATAAAGACAACAACAAATTCCACGGCCTCGCTTCAATTTATTTCCTACAGCAAAGAAAATAAAAAGAAATAAATAAAGATTTAAATTCTTCTATTTTATCTATTTTCTAATTCCGTTGTTTGTTATGTGTGATGACGTTCGTATCAGAGAGTGGTATAGGTACCGTAGCCACAGCCAGTGTGATCAAGACAAACACACAGTTGGTGAGTAGCAGACATCCACAGAGAAGCCCACGGTGAGTAGAGTCAGCCAAAAAAACAACAATCAATCAATATGTCAGCAGCTCATCTTCTTCGCTTGTCCTTCCGCGAATACCAATGCATCCAGGCGCAAGGGACGACACGTGGCACTACATCCTTTTCGTGATGCTGTACTGCCTGCCAGCATGCTCAAGTGCAAGTATCAATCCCTCACCAATCTTCAGAAAGTGGCAGTGCGCTCCTCCTGCCACGTGTCACCCGTTATTTGACTAACGCAACAATTCCACGGAGTATGCCGCATCAACGTCAATGGCCAGCAAGGCCGTCAATAGGTATGCCACGTTAGCAGTGCACAATCTGCCAACTCATTCATCACTGGTATGCCACGTCAGATTGAAGATACCGCTGGAGTATGGAAGCGCCATGTCAGCAGATGAGTCGCGACACGGGTAAGTGCCACGTCAGACAATACCCTGCCGAGTCTTGGATGCCACCTCAGCACCCATGCGACTTGCCATGTAGGAAGCGCTCCCAATGCCACATCAGCAGTATCCTTCCCCCACTCTCTCTCTCTCTCTCTCTCTCTCTCTCTCTCTCTCTCTCTCTCTCTCTCTCTCTCTCTCT